GAGCCCCCTCCGCGCACAGGGCACGCTGCAGCAGTTCGTGGACAACTTCTTCCAAAGTGTGCTGGCGCCCGAGTTCGCGGTGCCGCCGGCGGTCAAGTACTTTTTCGACTTCCTGGACGAGCAGGCGGAGAAGCACGACATCAAGGACGAGGACACCATCCACATCTGGAAGACCAACAGGTGGGGGCTCCTCCGCCACTGCCCGCCCGCCTGCCCCAGGGTCTCAGCGGCCCCTCACCTCTGTCGCTCGCTGTGTTCCAGCTTACCGCTCCGGTTCTGGGTGAACATCCTCAAGAACCCCCATTTCATATTTGACGTGCACGTCCACGAGGTGGTGGACGCCTCCCTGTCGGTCATCGCCCAGACCTTCATGGACGCCTGCACACGCACAGAGCACAAGCTGAGCCGGGTGAGTGGCCATGTGGCAGCTCTGGTGGGGGCAGGGGAGGTGGGTCATCCCCCAGGAGGCCTGAACTGGGCGGTGTCCACAGGGGACACTATGGCCGGGATGGGGCTTAAGACGTCAGTTAGGGACATGCCAGGAGGTTTGTTTGGGGTGTTCATGTGCACCTTTGGTTCTGGGGCTCTGGAGAAAGGCAGGTGTGAGGTAACAGGCAGGGGGCGGGAGCCTGGGGGCCCCTAGTGACTGGCCTCTGGCAACTTGGGGCTCCGTCCTCCTTCCCTTCCTGTGGGGACCCTGCCTTTACACAGGCAGAGACGGTGACTTATCACAAATTACAAAACAGTGACAGCGTCAGGAGACCAAGTGGTCTGCAGCTGGGCAGGTAGCTGCTCTCCTTTGTCTGTGGGTATCCTGAGCAGGTCGAGCCTGGCTCCATCAGGGCGCGAGGGCAGCGACACTGGCCAGCCCATGTGGTCTGGGTGTCACTGGGCTCTGACCCCCACAGGACTCTCCCAGCAACAAGCTGCTGTACGCCAAGGAGATCTCCACCTACAAGAAGATGGTGGAGGAGTGAGTACCGCCCACCCTCCACCCCCACCCAGCGGGCCCGTGACCGGGAGGAGGGCACTGGTGGGCAGCCTGGGTCCAGCCTTCGGGACCCACTGCCCCCACCTTCCCACAGTTACTACAAGGGTATCAGACAGATGGTGCAAGTCAGCGACCAGGACATGAACACGCATTTGGCAGAGATTTCCCGGGTAAGGGAAATGTACTAACGGACCCTCCCTGGGCTGAGCCCCACCACCCCTTCCCCAAAGCCCCCCTGCTGAAATGGCACTGCAGAGAGGAGTGCGTTGTGCTCCCAGGAGAGAAGCCGAGGGGGAGGCCAGATAGGCTGGCACCTGCGTGTGGGGGTGAGGGCTGTGTCAGCTCTGAGCTGGCCGTGTCTGCCATGGAGATGTGTATCTGTCCGTGCCTATATTGTGTGCTGGAGTGCTGTGAGACCGTAACCCTGTGTGCCTGTGCCACAGGTCACGGCCCCTCCCTGGCCCTGGGTCACACTGCCTTTCCCCCCCCCAGGCACACACAGATTCCCTGAACACGCTCGTGGCCCTGCACCAGCTCTACCAGTACACCCAGAAGTACTACGACGAGGTAGGGGTAGTCTCCCCCGGGGCGGGGGCGCTTGGGCAGCCCCTCCCGGGCCTGCCGGCTGACGTGACCCACCCTCAGGTCATCAGTGCCCTGGAGGAGGACCCTGCCGCCCAGAAGATGCAGCTGGCCTTCCGCCTCCAGCAGATCGCAGCTGCTCTTGAGAACAAGGTCACAGACCTCTGACCTCTGGTCTTTGCCACCATGGTCTCGGGGCACAGGTGTGTGATGCCAGGAGCCGGCATGGGGCGGCCCCTGGGGAATGAGGCTGAGGTGGTGGCTCAGCCCTTGTCTCTTGCCAGCAGAGGAAGAGCCCCTAAGCATCCAAGTGGGTGAGGTGGGGTGCCCACCTCAGCGCCTGTAGCCACGTGGCATCTTTCTCCTGAGCAATAGTGCCGGGCGCCCTCCAGCACCAGCCCCTCCTGCAGAACCAGCATCGGCGTCCTCTCCGAGTGCAGCCTCCCGAGCAAATCGCAAACGTGCCTTTCGCCCCTGGCGCCGTGCCGTGTCACCGGGGGCAGTCGGGACTCAAGGCCTCCCTTCCCAAGCACCAGCAGCCGCCTCATGCCTGGGTTTGGCCTCCCTGGGTGGGGTCTGAGTGCCTGCAGCCCCCAGGACCCAGTGCCCAGACAGTGCGTCTGCCCGCCTGGGCGGGAGGAGAAAAGCGGTACGATGCCTTCCTGACCTCACCGGGCTGTCCCACGGGCGCCAGCTCTCCAGTGGACTCCCAGCCGCGAGCCCCACCTTAAAGGTCAAGCCGGACGTCAGACGTCGAGGCCCAGGTGACCAGAGCAGACTGGGGGTCCTGGTCTCGGCCTGTCAGACAGGCGGTCCTGCAGGCCCTGCCCGGGTCTGGGGGGCCAGGATCAGCCCTACCAGGACCACCCCACCCCTTTTGTAAATCTTGTTAATTGTAAATCAAATACAGCCGTCTTTTTCACGCTGCTGGTTGGCTGGATTTCTCCTGGGCCTGGCCTACCCACTGCCTTTGTCCCCCAGGCACTGTTTGGCTCTAGGGTCACCCTCAGGTGGGCCTGTGTGGCCTCACACCCCCACCTCCCTGGTTCCTCGGCCAGGCCCACAGGATTTGTACAGAGGCTGCAACCCACGTGCACAATGTCTGCTGCCTTAGAGAACAGGATGGTTGGGGAATGGGCGGTGAGACCTCGGGCAAGGACAGCTGGGGGTAGTGCAGGCCTGAAGGGGATCCTGGAGTGGCTTGTGCTTCCAAAGAGGTGCCTTGAGGCAGCTCTGCCAAGCCAGGAAGTAGGGGAGATTGAGCTGGCCCCGGCACCCGCTGCTGGACGAGACAGCCCCCAGCCTCCCTTCCTGGGCTGAGCCACTAAGCCATGGGGTCAGGGGGTAGGTGTGGCATCAGCTGTCTGGACCTTGATATCTCAGGATGGAACTATTTCTTCCTGAGGTCAGGGTCCTCCCAGTGCACATTTAGTTAGCCCCTACTGTATGCAGACCCCACTCTACACTGGGGGCTCCACGTCCTCCTGCTTAAGGCTGTGAGGCCATTAGGGTGGGCTCCTTCTCTGTCCCATGAACCACCCCAGGATGACTCGGGACAAAAGCAGGGTTCCAGGACCCTATGGCTGAGAGTAAGCGAAGGGGAGAGGTTATCTGGGACCCTGGTGATGGAGGGGAGGGGCACATCTACGAAGTGCGGAGCTGAGATCAGCCAGGCCCGTGTGCATGCACACAGCATTGGAATGACAGGCCTCTTGCCATCCTACACGCACTGTCCTGGGCACTAGGGACATGGCAGTAAAGGGGGTAAGACAGAGCCTGTCCCCAGCCTTGTGCTGCCAGAGTACCAACCCATGGGCGTTCAGAGCTCTGTAACAGGAGGCGGCCGAGCTTCATGTAGGGCTGGATCCAGGGGCTCGTATCTTTGGGTTCCCAGCACATGCTGGCTTGTCCTTGGGCAGTAGGGATGCTGCGGCCCTGGTCTGTGTCTGGTCTGTGTCTCCTCCACTAGGGCCAGGTCACTGTCTGGGGAGCCTCCGTGGGCTAGGCCTTGATCAGGAACCACTGTGCATAGGGCAGTCCCATTCAAGCCATGTGGGACGAGGGAGGTATCTCTGACAAGGAAGGGGTACTGGGCAAACAACTGACATCTACCCAGGGACCCCTGAAATGACACTGCTATGGCCTATACTGGGTTCCCCATTTCTCAAGAGACCCAGCTGGTTAAGGAATCCGAACAAGGTACTGCCAAGCCAGAGCCGGGGGCGAGGGGGGCAGTGTACGGTCAGGGAGTGCTGAGCTTGGGGGACATGGAGACCTGGCTTCTAGACTGGACCCCTGAAGGCAGCTTCTGCCCCCTTCCCCCTGGTAAGAAGATGGGGAAGTCATCGAGAACCCCCTCTTCCACTCTGAAGCTTGGAGTTAAGGGAGGGGCTGCAGGTCCACCAGGTGGGGGGCCCCCCTTGAGGATAGGCTTACAAAGGGGCTGTCCTTTCATGGGGCCAGTGGAAGGTGGAAACTGGGCATGGTTGTTGGGAAGCATGGGGTGGGCAGGCCAGCCTTGAGGGGTCGGAGTCGGTGGGAAGCGACGGGAGGGGAACCTCATCTTCTAAGCGGCAGGCAGTACCTGTACCCGCCTTACCGCCCCTGCCCCAGCGGGACTGGCATCTTAGGAAGTTCATTAGGCCTCAGGGAGAAGTGCAGCCAGCGAGCAAGGGGCTGCTGAGTAGGTGGAGAGGGGACAATGGACATGGACGGAAGGGCTGGGCTCTTGATATTTGGCAGTGACCGTCAGGATGGAGTGAGACCAGGGCCGTGATTGTACCGGCCCCACCCTTCACCTGCATGCGTCCTGCTACCAACCTTCTTCCCTACCCCCCAGCTGCTGGCTTGTCCTCTCGGAGCTTGGGTGACACTGCAAATGTGCAGCTGAGCTCCTAAAGTCCTGATCATGCCCCTGTCCACCGGCCTGCCACCCCCCTCCGCCAATAAACACCACTCTTTCTGTTCCTTAAATCAAGCTCAGTTCTTGAGAGGCAGGACTGTCTTGAGAATGAGCCAGCTCTGCTGGCGTGTCACCTCTCCAGGGTGCCCTGCTCTGACTGCTCTCTCCCTACCGCCACCCCCACGGCACAATCTCCAGGGTCATTCCCCTGCAGGGTCACAACCTCGGCCTTCCGCAGAAGGCCCGGGACCCCGCGTGACCCCCTGAGCCGGGCAGGGAGGCCGCTCCGCTCTGGTCAGCTCTGATCACTCACCGCCAGGATTCCGGGGGAGCAGTGGGAAAGGCTGCGCGAGGGCGCCCTTAGTTGATCGGACGCCCCACCCCCGGGGAGAGCACAAGGTTGCCAAGCCCCAGCAGGGGCGGAGCCAGTTGCCATGGGAAGGCGCTCCGGCCCGCGGGCGGGCGCAGACAAAGGCCAGGCCTCCCCGCGGCACTGGCCGCCGGGTTCCCACAGCCCCGGCTCGGCTCTGCCCCGCCCGCGGCTTTCGCTGAAGCGCCATTAACTCCGCACAAAACCTCGACCGGCGGAGAAAGGCTCCCCAGGGCGGGGCGGGCGAGGCCCGGCGAGGGCGGCTGGGGGAGGGGCGCCGGCTCCCCGAGAGAAACTGAGGAGGGCGCGGCTGGGACTCAGATCCCGTTTCCTTCCTGGATTTTCGGCTTCCTGGGGTCCGGATTCGCGGGGCAGATGTGTCCGTTTGCCCAGTCCTGCACTGACATGTTTTATTTTCATTTGGAGAGTTCCATAAAAACTCAGGTTTTAGTTTGTTCCCGCTCTCCTGAGAGAGGCCATTTCCTCGGGCAGGTGTCAGGAAGCAGTTCCCCTCGGGGCGGTGCTCTCCCCGCCCTGGTCACTGTAAAATGGGGAGCACGAGCAGATGCGCCGACGCGGAGCGCCGGGCAGACGCGGGCGAGGCCGCTCTGGGGGCCCTGGAGCCCTCTCACGGGTGGAGCAGCCTGCGGGGGCTGAGGTGCGGGAGTGAGGTGCCTTGGCAGGAGCTCGCGGCCCCTGGGGACTGCGGCTGCGAACGATGCGGTGCCGTGGAAAATCAGGACGGGCTTTCAGGAAGAGGTGACAGCTGACAGGGCTGGTTCAGAAGGAGGGAAGGTACCAGGCGCGAGGAAGACCCATTCGGGCAAAGCTCTCTACGAGTACAACACCTCAAAGGCCCCCCGGTGCCGCCGCTGTCCCTGGTCCTGACAGGGCTGGTCCCAAGGCCTGGCCTGGCGGTCACAGTTCCCCCAGGAGGCGCTGGGCCGCCCACATCAGAGCAGAGAAGGTCCGCCAGGAGGCGCGCCACACCACCAAGGCCGCACCGGCCTCCACAGGTAGCGGCTGGGCTGGCCCAGGCCCCAACCCTGTGCTCACCGCAGAGGGGCCCCATTCAACCGAGTGCCTAGATGTTATTAGCTGGCGTTTTCTGTACTGATGAGAAATATCTGCTTTGCCCTGGCTTCTTCGATTGAGGGTGCGACTTCTTTCTGGGGGAGCAGCTGGGGGCGGGAGGGGGGATTCTGGGCCTGGAGCAGGTGTGTGGGAGGATGCGTGGACCCAGGCAGGCCCAGGGGGTTAAGTGCAGGGCCCAGAGTCAGGAGGGAGGGGTGCGGGACGGGAAGTGGCGAGAGAGGAGGTGCTGGCGCCAATGCCGGCGGGGCGGGTGCGGGGAGCAGAGTCCTGCGCGCGGCGGTGCGGCAGATCCGTGGCGCCTGGGCGGGGAAAGAACGCAGGCGGATGTTTAGAGAGGTGCGTGGACCTCAGGAGGTACCGGCGGGAGGGGCGATAAGTCGGACCCTGGCCGTCCCTTCCCCCT